AGAGAGAGAGAGAGAGAGAGAGAGAGAGAGAGAGAGAGAGGCGGGGTTGGGAGATAATTATTTTATTTTCTTTTTATTTTTAAGTTAAAATAATATTTGAAAATTTAAAAATATATATATAAAAAAGAAAGTAAAAGGGTATAACCGTCATTTCAAGTTATTTTGAACAAAATACACAGAAAACCCTTGATTTTGGACTTTCTATACAACTGAGAAACTTTTTAAATACTATCTAAATTTTTTGAATACTATAAAACCACTGAGTTTTATCAAAAAATAAAAACACATATATGAAAACGAAAAATCTTAAAAAGACCATTAAATTTGCAAAAACAAATTAATAAAAAGTACTCTAAAATAAGCTGTAAACGAAAAACTTGTAAAAATTATAAAAGTTCTAAAATTTGTAAAAGTTAAAGATTAACCTAAAACAATTTCCCCAAATCTTCGCTTTGGTTCTCTCGTCTCAAAAGCCCTAAAAGTTCAAACGAGCAGCATCCAAAATCAAAATGCCGGACAAATTACCTTTCCATATTCAAGAGGAGATCATCAAAAGGCTTCCTATCAAATCATTGGTTAGGTTCAGGTGCGTCTCGCAAGCATGGAAGTCTTTGATCGACAGCTCTGATTTTGTTCTTGCTCACAGCGTCACTCAGCCCCAACATCTGCTTTTAAGGTACGAAGATCCGGTCGAAACTGCAGACAAATATGTCTCTTTTCTAGATGATGACACTTTCCCTAAACAGAGGTTTGTTCATCCCCTTCCCCTGTCAGTTAAACTACTTAAACCCTCAAGCTTCGTCGGTAGCTCTCATGGGTTGTTCTGTTTGCACGGTTATTATTGGGATCGAGATGATAGTTTTCCCAACTTGGAAGCATCTGTTCTTTTCAACCCTTCAGTTAGAAAGTCGATTGTTGTTTCTATGCCTAAGAAAGATCACGAATTTTACAAGAGCCATGAATCAGTTCTTGGTTTTGGGGTTTTTCCCAACACCAATGACCCTTTTGTGATCCAGATTACACAATTTCGTATGCTTAAAAAGAGAAGTGAAACAAGCGACCCATGGAAAGTTGATGTTTACACATTAAGCTCTGGGAATTGGAGAAGTTTATCCAGAAATCTACCCAGTAAATCATTTGGAGTTACAGAGCCTCAGGTTATTATTGATAGGTTTATCTATTGGTCTGCTTTGCAAACGAAGATTATAGATAGTGAGTTGCAAACTCATAATCCAATTATGTCATTTGATATGAGTAATGAGAGTTTTAAAGTGGTAAACCTCCCTGATAGTTCAAGTTCACCCATTCAAAGCTTACTAGAGTTGTCTATTTCAATTTTTAAGCTAAGGGACACTCTTGCAATGGTTGAATTAAGGCTAGAAAATGACAGATATGTTTCTGTTGTATGGATGATGGAGAATAATGTTGAAAAATCATTCACAAAGCTCTTCAAAATTAAGATGCCATTTCGGTCGATTGTGTTGGGATTTAGGAAGAGTGGTGAAGCTATAATGGAAGTGGAAAATGATGATGATTATACTTTTGAACAAAGTAAACTTGTTGTCTATGATCCTAACTTAGACCAATTCAATGATGTTGAGATTTGTGGAACCTCTGAATCGTTCTTTGTGAAATCCTACACTGAAACACTACTTTTGATCGGGTGTTCTGATTGTGTAAGTTATGAACATGAATTGGAGTCGAAGATAATGAATGCATTGCAACGTCGAGTGAAGAGCATGCCACTTTTGGATCAGGAAATTGAGGAGGATGATATCTTCAGATTATTTGAAGTTGATATAAATTGATGTTGTGTTTGTTGTGAGATCAATGTTGCTAACTTTAATGATGGTAAATCTCACATTTTTTGTGAGTAAATTGGGTTTTAGTGCGTGCATTTTGCATATGAGAATCATCAAGAAAATGTTGAAAGAATCGGTTGGAAGCATGTTGTGTAAATTGTGTACCGACTCAATATTAAGAAACATGGTTTGAGAGACTACTTATATTAGATCGTGTAGTTTAATATTATCGTGTCCTATTTCATGTTAGTTTAATTTAATCAAGCATGTGATGTTTATATATTTGATGATTTGTGAATCGTGATACTCCTTTCAATATATTCTATGCCTGAACGACTTGCTTGTTATAATCGTTTGATTAAGTCGCTCTTTTTATAAATGTTACAAAAGTGAAAAGTTCCTTTATAAAACGAAAAAACATACGAGGGAAATGGTGATTTTGATGGAGATTTGTATATATTGGGTCTCTAGAAGCCCTCAAATAGGCATACAATTTACAATGTACTGAAAATCGGACTACTCGGCTGATAACTTGGCAATAACTTGCTAGTCAGGATTCGCGAAACTCGGTCAAAATATAATCAAATTGACAAAATAGGCCCCCGATTGAATCGTGAGGGTGATGTAGATGGACTTGTGCCTTACTTTATGCAACCCTAAATTCATTCCAAAAAAATGTTTACTTTATAAAGTCATGTCTTTTAAACTTTCTCCTTCACCTCAGAGTGTGCCCAAACTTGCAAGTAGGCCCCCGATTGAATCGTGAGGGTGATGTAGATGGAGTTGTGCCTTACGAAATAGTCAAGTCATGGATGCAGATGAATATTTTAGACCTCAAAGAAGTTCTACAATGAGACAACTTTTTGAAGAAGAATTTGAAGCGGAGAGCAATGAAGAAGTGGATGAAGAGGAACAATACAAAAAAGACGAGGATAAATTTAATATCAGAGAATGAGCATTTAATTTCGAAGCGATTCAACATTGGAACATTTTTTGTTATGAACTTTATGACATTTGTCAAATATCTAACCTTCTCACAATTCGTTGTTTTACTGTTAACCCCTAGCTAAGTACTCCCTACATAGACCGAATATTTGCTACTCCTCACTTGACCGACCGCGTAGCGCCTAGCAAAATTTACAACATTGCAATTTTACATTGATGATTAAATTCCACTTTCAACATGCTCATGAAAACTCTTTCCGAAGTATTTTTATTCTTTCGAAATCTGAATTTTTAGTCTGGAATCCGGAATGTGGTCCGGAATCTAGAATAGCGTTTCGGAATCGGTCGGAAAATTGTTTTTTATTGGTCCGGAATACCCATTCCGGAAAAACTGGTTATTTTTGTTAATTGTTTTGATTATTATGTTCAAATAAACAATAAAACAGTTAACCTTTTCACATTACTCACATCTTTGTATAACAGTAACGCCTAGTTCCTGACTTGTAGTAGAGAAAAGAAAATAAAATAAAGAGAGAAAAGAAGAGAAATGAAACGAAAATAAATTTGTCTTTTGTGTTCCCGAGTGAGAGAGAAGTGGAATGAAAATTTAATATTTCGTTCTTTCTCTTCAAATCCTTTCAAATCGGAAGGAAAGCTAGAAGGGATAGTGATCATTCAATTTCCTTCAACTTCTTTCCTTTAATTAAACTCGGGAACACCAATTTCTTTTATTTTATTCTCACTTCTATCTATTTCTTTTTCTTTTCACTCGTTAAGTTGAACTCGGAAACGAGTGTAATGCCATATATTTCTAACAAAATTAATGATCTTTATGGTATTGGAAAATTGCAAAAAAAAAACCCTTACATAATATAAACTCATAATCGATTTAGTCATTCTATATTTTTTTTTAATCAATTAAGACTCAAAAACCGATAATCGTGTTCAATTTAACCATTTTACCCGATCCACAGGTCATCCAACTTTCAAAAATTATAATTTTGGTCAAGATTTTAAATTTTATTACAAATTTGGTCAAAAATTTACACTTTTGGCCCATATTTTAAATTTTATTACAAATTCGGTCCAAAATTTACCCTTTTGGCCTAGATTTTAAAATTTTGTTTTGAATTCATCCGAACTTTAGTTATCTTTATAACATTTTTTCTCAAAAAAAATTGAATATGTTTTTTCTTTATAAAATCATATTTATACAAAAAAACATATTTTCACATAAAAAATATTATATTTTCTACATAAAAACTTTTTTTAAAAGCTTTTCTATATTCGAAATATTTATTTATAAAAATATGTATTTATTAAGTACATAAATATATACAAATCCATTTTTATAAATAAATATATAAACAATTTATTTTAAGAAAAAAATATATATACAAACATCTAATTTATTATAAATACAATTTGTAAAAAACATATTTATGTGCACCCAAATAAGTTTTTTTTATACATTTCTTTTGTAAAAGCATATTTATATATTTTTTTATAAACACATATTTTATAATAAGCACATTTGTATTCAAACACATTTATATATAAAATGTATATAAATACGCATTTAAAAAAATATATATATTAAAACAAGTTTTTATAAACAAATGTATACAAACATGTTTTTATAATATATATATATATATATATATATATATATATATATATATATATATATATATATANGACACACACACACATGCTTTTGAAAAAAAACATCATTTGATAAATAAATTATCGACAATTAAATTATCCTTTTAAATGTATACTCTAAATAATAGTTGTATAAGAATTAATACCATAAAATAATAATTCATATTCAAAATTCAAAAGGAATTTTGATCATGGATAAAAAATGTGCGTCTTCAAATTAAAATACAAAATTTATCGTCATTGTTAGGGTCAGGATCCTTATAACATTCAGGTTCCTCATATATCCAGGATCCTCAGCTATATCAAGATCCCGGCTAATTATCGTTATTATTTTTATCAATGTTCATAACGGTCATATTTTGTCTATAACTAACACGTGTACAGAAGCAGTCAAGGGAAGACCCATTCTCAACGAAGAAGCGTTTCAACAATGCAAAAGACCCGGAATACTTGGTCAAATAACGTTCATGAACTGGTCATAGAAGATCCCGGAAATATCGAACATCTTGTTAGCTAGCTTAGAGTATAAAATGACACTTGTATTCTACACACAACACACTGTCCTTTAGCGTAAGCTTACTCTACGAAATTCGCTACTCATTCTTACTAAGAACTCATTGTAATCTTTAATTTATATCAACAAAATCATCAAGGCAGGTGATCATTATCACCTCTCAAGGTTTTATGCCGGAGATCCTAGCAAGGATCAAGGGCTTTCCTTGTAAACCATTGTGTCATTTTTCTTTTACTACTTGCTATTACACAATCTGAACATCACAACCTCTCATTCAATTTGGTTGATTAGTACTTGTGTAAATTTTGACGAAAACAATTTGGTGCCTACCGTGGAGTCGTGGTGTTCAAAATCCTCAAAAAAAAATCATGTCTACACAACTGATCCTCTCTTCGTCCTCTACTCCTTCCATCCCAACCAAAAACCTACCACCTCCTCTGAGCGGACCCCCCACTCAAAGGAAAACACCCGAAACTTCCAAGAAAATCAGCCCCACAATCGCTAATCCAAGAAGTTTGGGATCCTCAGGGCTCCAGTATCCAACTGTCTCAGTCACTACTACAGAACTTTTCACTATGATGAGGAAAATGACGCAACATGTGACCCAACAGCAAGAGGAGAATAGAGCACTACTCAAAGAAGTGGAGAGGATGAAGGCAGAATTTCAGAAATCCCAGGAAACTACGCCTACAGTTGTGCAACTAAGGATCCTGGACTTCAATAATGTAGGATCCTCAGAAAATCGCCAGAAGGACATAATTCCTGCCACTGTGGCGTCACCCTGGGGGGCAAAAACGGATAACTGAGCGTCCATGATCAATGATCTCAATGAGCCTTTCAACACTCCTAGAAACCTTGACTCTAATAACTTCTTAAACAGCAATACTGTTAATACTAACTACACTAATGTTGATGCAGGAATAAACCCAAACATGTCCAAGGAACTTCAGCAATTAAGACAAATGATCTCCAGTATACCCGGAGTGGTCCAACCTATACCAGAAGCATCTCCTACAAGCCACAGGATCTCAAGATTTGCTCTTGCGATAGCTGATACCGAAGTTCCTAAGCGCTTCCAAACTCCTAACATGAAGCTATACGATGGAACCATGGATCCTGAAGAGCATATAGCCCAATACAGAGAAAGGATGGATATCATTCCCATCCCAGGGCACTTGAAGGAGGCTTGCCTATGCAAAGGCTTTGGTTCGACCCTTACAGGATCAACCCTCAAATGGCTACTAAACGTTCCCCCATACTCTATTACTTCTTTTGCACACTTGGTTAATATATTCAATAACCAGTTTTCTTGCAGCAGAACCTTCGAGAATATCACTAGTGATCTCTACCAAGTGGTTCAGGATCCAAAGGAAAAACTTAAGGACTTTGTCAACAGGTTTGGCAGGGAGGCTCTGAGCATCCCCAACATCGACATGGCCACCACTGTAGAAGCCTTTAAAATGGGACTAAGAAAGGATTCACCCTTCTACGAAGACCTTGTGATGACCCCATGCAAAAGATTAGATGAAGTCAAATGTCGGGCATTGAGGTTCATAAGGCTCGAAGAGGATAGAGAGATCCAGAAGAGAAGCAACCATTCAAATCAGTATGAGAACCTAAATAGGAAGGTCGAATCCTCGACTCAGGGATCCTACAAATCGAAGCCCTATTCCAAACAGGATCATCACAGGGTTAATGCCCTTGAAGATGGAGGAGAAGAAGAAGGGCTCCCTAAATCACTAACTATTGTTTTTCTGTGGATGTTTCAGGGGTAATTCATGCCATGCAGGATCTTGGAGAAAAAGCAAGATGGCCAAAGAGAGACAGCAAGCCCACCGCTTGGAAAGACAAATCCAAATGGTGTGCTTACCACGAAGACTTT